GATTATAATACGCCAAAAAACTCCGAAACGGTAAATGAAGATATAGAATATAAGGAATTAATCAAAGGTTCGCGTTGGTCCGCAATTGGTTCCCAGGCGTCATTCTCGCTTATAGCCTCTTGAAGTCACTCTCAAATATTGTGTGTTCACTGATTGGCGGAGTAAATAGGAGATATGTTACTCTAAGTTAAAATAACCCTCTAGAAGCAATGCGTGAAACCACTTCATATTCTACTCGAGGAGTTACTATCTTGGAGTAAATGGTTACTCTCGATTTTTGGTAACTACTCTCAACTGTCACTCGGCTGTTGGTGAAACCGGCCCTTAAACCGCGCAATCCCGTTTGATGATCGTTACTAGAGCGCTCGAACTTAGCGAGCACGTTTTTTCCCGTGGCAGGGTTGAAAGAGGAGAAGCAACCCCACTCTGGAAATTTCCCCAGCGTTCAGCCATAAATCCATATAACACGCTTCGGAGCGCTCTCTGATATTTCCAGCAACGACAGCGACATGGGGCCAGCGACGCTCGCTTGAGATCACAGCAAGGGCCAGCGGACAATCCTTCTTGAGCTAGAGTAGGATTCTTTAGGATATTGTAGAGCTAGAGTATTATAATTAGAATACCGAAGTAATAGGAGAAAGTGTTGTAAATTTTGAAAATCGGCAATTAAGTCTAATAATGCCTTAGATTCGCGCAGAAGGACTCTGAATTATTCCAGTACAATCATATTTGCTCCTTATTGCTGCACAAGCAAAAACTGTGGTAGTTAGGGCCCGCTCACGCAAACGAAAGGGGCGCAGTAAATTAGAATAAAACTGAAAGCGCGAATTAATTTCTACAACGAGTCGCGAGAAGATAGAAAAAGAAGCATCTCCAAGAAGGTCAGCGTACGTGCGAAAGATATGGTCTTGGATGGGAAGGCGGACCATGTAGGTGCGAAACATTTGGGTTCTGCGTGGACTTCGAACTCGCGACGCAGCAAGTGAAGAATTCGGCGAAACGTTGGAGCGGCAACAACCTTGAATCGGCGAGGTCATCTGGCAGCGAGCAACGCAGCGTCGGTGAGACACGCGCGTTTGTACTACAGCAGTTTCGTTAGGGAGAAAAGCGATCGCGGCAACGCGACAGTTCAATAAAATCGGTTAAAGTGGGAAACATTTGTCTTGTTATGCGTGATAGATAGAGCAAATGTAATCCAGAGATTATTTATCATTTGAAAAAGTGAGCTATACCTTGTACTGTTTTTACGTGGAAAGGTGATTTAATGTTGTTGACAGTTTTTTTTTGTAATTTGTGGGCAGTTATATGTGTATTGTAATTGCTTCACGAGCATTCATGATAACAAGCTTACTGAACATACGTTGCTGCTGCTGATGGTGGTGTGTGTAAAAATATATATATATATATATATATATATATATATATATAATATATATATAATATATAGTAGAGAGAGAGAGAGAGAGAGAGAGAGAGAGAGGGGGGAGAGAGAGTGTGTGTGGGCGTGGGTCTGGGCGGCGTCGCGCGTGTGCGCGCGCGCGCCGCGCGCTGTGCTGCTGGTGTGTGTGTTGTGTGTGTGTGTGTGAGTGTTTTTTTTACGTGGGCAAGGGGAATTCTTCTAAAGACACAGCGGAGCCCGCAACCCGCAGCCTTGGGATTCATAGCTAGCCTATGCCTACCCACTAAAAAACCCCTCCCTTTCCTCCTATTCCTTCCCGCGGAACGCCGTCAGCATTGCATCGCGAGAAAGGAGGATGGGCTTTCCGCACTTCACCGAAAATATACGGGACACTTCTTCGTAACTGCTCCTCGGAGCGGAGCGTCTTCAGGACCTTTGCGGCATAGGTGGCTACCGCACTCCAATACTCTTGCGTCAGCAGCGCATCCTAGTGACGATGGTCTCAGGGACCACTTCCACTTGCAGGAGTCTGTGAAGTTCATCCCTTTCCACTGCGAAGCGTGGACAATGAAAGAACACGTGTTCTACATCTTCAAGTCACCGGAAACAACCTTGGGCATGAGGAGCTATCGTCCAACCGGAATCGGAGCTGATACTGTCCGGTAACATCCGTGCCCTGTCAGGCATCTGAGTTAGATAAAAATCTAATTCTCCATGTTCCCTTTGAATCCACGTCATTGATGTCGGGAATGACCCGAAATGTCCATCGCCCAGTTGATGATTGCTCCCATCGGCGTTGCCATTGGTCCAATGTCACCCCCCTCTCTTCTTTCGTAATGGTATTCCAGTTTGAAGCCCCCTATCTTCTTCCCTGCTGTGTGAGAGTGTGTGAGAGTGTGTGAGAGTGTGTGAGAGTGTGTGTGAGTGTGTGAGAGTGTGTGAGTGTGTGTGAGTGTGTGAGTGTGTGAGTGTGTGAGAGTGTGAGAGTGTGTGTGAGAGTGTGTGTGTGTGAGTGTACGGGGACTCAGTACGAAAAAAAACGGGTAATGGTGTGAGTCAAATTTACTCATGGTTAGTATTGTAGGCTTAAAATGCAATGGGTTTCTAGACCCTAAGCGCCGTTAAACAAAAACCCATCATAATCGTTTTAATTCAAATTATATTACTAATTCAATTAAAATATTTTCCCTAAAACATGTTTTCGATATTTCTTTAAGTACTAATCTAGTATTTGCACATAATAGTTGTTAAATATTAATGATTTGTCATTTGCAAGTCAACTAAGTTCAAGTATTAAGTTGAAATTAGTTTAGTAAAAGTCAGATTACGTTAGTTCATAGTGAAAAGTGTTATGTTGGTATTCCTGGTATGAATGCGACATTCACGAACCCGACGTATTGTTGTTCTTTGTATCGTTTTCAAGCGAGCAACATGTCGCTCGAACGTCTTTGTAACTAAAAGGTAAATTACTTGTGGTTTAAATAGAGTCAAAATTACTCACATTCAATTGTTAAACTAAACTAACTGTTTTGCGTTTTTTGTAGTAGTTCAAATACATGAGTTTATTGACACTCTGGTATATCATTTTCGCCCAATCTAAAAAATTAATAATTTGCAAGAATAGTTTTTACTAAAACGTGTTTAGGTGCGGGATTGTCTGCAAATATGTAATTTCACACTGCTTTGTGATCTGACATTGACGATGACTGCAGCAAAAGGATTTTCAAGTAGTTCAGTATCGGTATTCATCGTCTTACAATTATTAAACCTATTTAATTGCTTTCGAGTTCTATTCGCCATCTTCCGTGTTCACAGTTTTTCTATACGAAGAATACTATTGGAAAGCGAAAGATAATTAGCGTTGCCCTTCGTGACACGCGCTTTGGAGCCGATAGGTGTTAGAGATTCAACCGCCCCGCACTCCTCTGCCGAAGCCATTTCTCCTGCCGGTGAATGACGTCCATCTCCTCGTTACAACGCTGCTCGCCGGCAAATTTCCGGACTTTGGAAGCTACACAATATCCGACAGTATTCATTTGTCTTTCCAAGTGTTCGTGCCTGTGAGAGTCTATTAGCCTAAGTTTTCTCATTAAACATTTCCCAGTCAATTTCTATAATTTATAATGAAGCGTTTTGAAAGTGGTTGTGCTAAACGTAAGAAATGTAGGGAACTAGAAGAAAATATTAAGAGAATCCCGAAACTAATTAATTATTTCAATTATACTGGCAACAAAGATGATAATACTGCATATGAAAATGTATCGATAAATCACATTCCTGACCCATCAACTTAGAGTTCGCAAATTCTAACAGTAAAAATGGAAATTATTTGGGTATTTTGGAACTTATGAGTCAGTTTGACCATTCTTACAAGGATTCACATAAAGAAATATGGGAAAGGGATGCCATCATACTGGTCAGCCACCATTTGTGAAGATTTCGTAGAAAAAATGAGGTCTAAAGTCTTTCAGTAATCATTTCGGAAATTCAAAAAGCAAAAGACTATGCTATTTTTGTAGATTCCACTTCGGATAAGACTTATATTGATCAACTTACTTTTATAGTAAGATATGTGATAGACGCTGTTCCAAAAGAGCGATTTTTACAGTTTATTCCCATTTATCGTCATAATGCAGAGCATCTTAGTGTAGTTGTGACTAACGTCCTAAAAAACAAAAACATAGATATTCTGAATTGTAGGGGTCAATCTTATGACAACGCAGCAAACATGTCAAGGGAATGTTCAAGATTACAAGTGAAGATAAAAGAATGAAATAAGTATGCTAAGTATGTACCATGTGCTTAACACTCACTGAATTTAGTAGGGGTACATGCTTTCAAGTGTGTTTTATGTGTAACAATTTACTTTGATTTTGTGCAAAATCTTTACATCATCCTTTCATTGTCAATACACCGCTGGGAGATAATTTGTTCATGTTTAGTTCCTCATCATAAAGTGGTGAAACAACTTTAAGTTACTAGGTGAGGTGGCGCAGGCAGATGCAGATACTTTTAATGGAGGATACAATGAAATCAGATTATGTCTTCAGTTTATAAGAAAATTATCGATTATAATTAGTGTATTTTTGTTTAAATTAATAATTTTATTAATTTATTTACGTTGTAATGTTTTCTCAATTTTGTCGTCCTCCTTTTCCTTGTGAAAAATTGTCACGTATGAAAATACAACATTTTTGTGAAATAGAACACCCCACTGTAAGAAAGTGTTCCTAAAAAACAAAAACGTTTTTAAACCAGGCAGAGGAAAACCTCCAACGAAGAAAAATCACGGCGTTTTAAAAGAAAATCCACACTTAAGTCGTGTTTTATCCATAAGCTCACGGCTTATAGCAATCTGGCAGCTGCCAACAAGAGGCGACGGTGCAGCCAAATACTATAGAATTTGGTGTAGGAAGTATTTGGTGCAGTCCTCCGAGGTACATGCTCTGGACATCTCTGGTTTACACGTTGCCAACCTGAGTTCCTCTGTAATTTCTTTGGAGTGTATTTCAGAAACCACGCGGATCGCGGGTGAAGCCCGTTGTTTACTCCATGTTTTGTTTGTGCGATTGTCTTTTGTTACTGTTAGTATTTACGATTGTAAGCGAATGGCGTGTGCTCGTCCGGTTGTTTCGCTGAAATATTTCCAGTTCTGCAATTGAAATACCTGTTGTTTACTACGATTCATTGGAAAAATGAGTGCAGGCATGCTATATGGTGGGGACGAAATAGGTGCTTTGGTGTTTGATGTCGGTCATTATTCATTGCGTGTGGGATATGCACAAGAAGACACTCCGAAAGCTGAGATTCCGGCCGTCGTTGGGATTTTAGAAGAAGCCGCACCACTTCCGTCGTCAATAAAGGCAGATAGTATGGAGGTGGATGACAAAAAGTCGGATATGACTCCGTCAAGTGCGAAAAATAAATATTATATCGATACTAATTATTTACATGTTGCCAGACGAGGAATGGAAGTCACGAGTTATATGAAGGATGGAATGATAGAAGACTGGGATTTATTTGAAAAAGTTTTAGATTATACGTATGCAAAATGTATTCAATCGAAGTCTGTATTTCATCCAGTTTTAATGTCAGAGGCACCATGGAATGTAAGGCAAAAGCGGGAGAAATTAACGGAGCTCATGTTTGAAAAATATGAAGTTCCAGCATTCTTTTTGGTTAAAAATGCTGTTCTGGCAGCATTTGCAAATGGACGAGCTACAGGAATAGTTGTCGATAGTGGTGCCACTCATACATCAGCTGTTCCAGTTCAGGATGGATTTGTTCTGTCACAAGCCATAGTGAAATCTCCCTTGGGAGGCGATTACATTACGATGCAGTGTAAAAACTTTTTGCAGGTGCGTATATCAAGTATGTGTCTCGACATACTTTATAATGTGTAAGATGGAATTGTCAGTGTTTTCAGCATTGGATCACAACAGTTTTCTTAATTTGTGGATCTGAGATATTGAATCTTTTCATATAAAATGCAAGAAAGTATGATAAGCTTTATATCTCACCGTGTTTTCTTTATATTTGATAGGATTTACCATTTATTGCACACACTTTGTGTATTTTAGTATTTGTGAAGGCTTATAATTTTTGGTTAAGTGTATGACACCTTAACACTAGAAAGACAGGTCGTCTAAAAAAACTGAACGGTTAATGGAATGGCTGCATGAAAATAAATGAAAGAATGAAGCATAAGTATGTACGGAAGATTTTTTTTTTTTTTTTCATTTATTAATAAGCTTCCAATGTGTTTTGTAGTATTTGAAAAATTAAATATAATGGAAATGTTAAGTTATTATCAATTTTGAAATAGTTGCCTCCTGTACAATGGACTTAGGCCCTGTTTTATGAGCTCAGAATATAGTGAATATAATTTTTATTCCATGGATAGAGGAAAACAGTTGTACAAAGTGGGAATAGTGCTTATTTCCAGAATAAACCAGTGATTAACTATTCTATTATTTTTGCAGTGATATTCTGTGGATAATGTGAAATAACCTCAAAGTAGAAGCAGCAATGAAAGGCATGTACTATGTAGCAATCAGTAGCAATGGAGTTTTCGGTTAATGATAATGAATTCTTATTCAGTGTTTTCGAAAATGAAGAAAGTTTCAACCCAGGCTAGATTTTTATTGTGCAATTACAATAATGATGAGTTTTTAAACTTATTTCTCTCCAAATGATGATCCACAGGATGATTTAAATCATCAGACAGAGGTTAATATACATTTTATATTTATAGATTATATATGCAACTGATATTTTTTGATTGGCCCTAGAAAAGATGGACTCTTTTACTCAGAGTAATTTTTGCTTAGATCCCATTAGGAATTGCTGCAATGTACTAAAAAAATTCATTTTTCTATTAAATTATGTTCGATAAACAAAATTATTTATTATTACTTTGTTATACTATTTTATTAGTATATTTTTCATATGACAAAAGTTGTTAGCTGCAAACGGAGATGATATTTTTTCTCTCTCGTGAAGTATTTCTCAATAATGTATATCTTTGTAGACTCTTGACCATGAAGTTGAAATTGGAAACTTGTCGGAGGGAATTAAGATTTAAAATATAGTTTGCCGATGTTTCAGAATATTTTTATTCCACCCTCAGAGCAGGTAGTAAAACATAACAATATAAGAATAACAAAACTATAGATATACAATTGGAAATTGCAACATACTGGTTACAAGACTGTGACCTTAGTGGTTACAATCAAAGTGGGAAGACTTCAAAAACAACTCCACGTGGAGTGATCACATTGAGAGGGTCCATCCAGCGCCCTCTGTATCCTCTATACATTTGAGGAATATGTGATTTATTTCTCCAACACAGAGTCACAACCATTTTTTCACAATTGCTTCTAATGGCAATTGTTTTATTTCTTTTGCAGACCCTGTTTTGACAATTTTGTTTTCATGAAATTGAGCTGACAGTTCTGTTTCTTAATGTTGTTTGAGAAGGTGGATTTGACTGCTCCTCTGCCAACCTTTGAATGAAGTCTTTTCTTTTTATCTGAAGTTGATTATTAGCTTAGCTTTTATGTGATATTCTTGTTTTATCTCTTACCACATTTATATTTGAACTCATGATATGCTTTCTAAATCTTGAGTAGTTTTGACCAGTATTGCTAATAAGATGTATGCAAGGACTAAAATGATTACATTCATTGGAACTAAAACATAGGTGCTAAGAAACCTTTTCTAGAATTGATGTTTGTGATTTCTTAAAACAAAACAATACTCTGAAACTTGTGAAATAGCCCTTATGTGTATGTTAAGGATAAAGTGTGAATCTGACTGATTTCAGAATTAGCTGGTTAATGTTCACAATACTCAAAATGAGTGGATAAAGTCCAAAGTAGGAACAGCATCAAAGTGTACGTCAGAATTTAGCCTTATGAAGTTGACATTAGCTAGTGCAGGATGACTAGGGCAAGTGGTGTATATTACAGTGTGGAGGAATGGCAGATATGTTATAAAACGGAACCTGATTGCTGGTGGGAAATTATTTAAGGTTAGTGAGACACAAGCGTATATTTTTCAGGAGCAACTGTATCAGTTGTAGATTTCTTTTTACCCCATACCTCCAAATCTGACCCCACAATACTTCATTTGCTCTGTATTTTGGGGGTTGGCAACAAAACTCACCCGTGCATGATATGAGAAGAGCTTCGTTGTCTTTGATTTATATTGACATAACAGTCCTAAACAATGTTATAGAAAAATCAAAAAGTAAACCATTAGAACAACTAGAGATAAAAATTAACTATTTTCAAAATTTTTCAGATACAAATAACAAAATTGTTGCACAGAATGATACACCTAATGTCAAAAAGACCATCTACTGTGTTCTAGTGTCAAGTTATTGAAAGAACATAATATTAAGAAATAACCAAATGTGTGTGTTCACTTGCCGCACACATATATAAGTTTTAAGCAGGTCTAACAGATCTGTGATACACAAGTGTGGTATCTTCATATATATTACTGTCTGCAAATGTAACATTTCACACTCAAGTGCCCAGTGTTAGACTAGTGTTTTATTTTTATCAGTATGATTAATTATAGGTCTTGAACTTTCAACTTCCTTCTTCTTGGCTGCTAAACATATACTATCAGTTAAGAGTGAATGCTGCTTATAGAGGTGAAGGAAGCTCACATTTTAATGGGGAGGATATGCAAATAATTTACTAGTGGATGGTGTTAAGCAAAATGGGTCAACTCACTAAGCAGCAGATTAAAGTTAAAAATTCCCTTGTGTTTTTGATTATCCAACCATGATCCGGTCCATGGGTAATGGTTTTGAGAGGTTGTATTGTATATGATAAATATCTCTGTAGATTTAATAAGTTTGGAGATTGTAATAATGAACTCGCCATCAAATGTTATCTTTTTGCAAAATTTTAAAATATTTGACGGTACCACACTTGTGTACCACAATTCTGTTACACCTGGTTAAAACTTTTGTGACTTTAAAGGGGGTAAAATATTTTATGAATGTTTATTTTGCTGATGCATCATTAGGAAATTATTTAGCTCTGAAAATTATTACAATTTTAGGACATGCTGAAGTGTGGGTGATATTTCAGTAGCCATTGAGCACAATAGACAACAGGAATAGTTTGAATTGGGCTTTCATGAATGTTTGCATATTGAAAATGCAAAAATCTTGTTCTCTTCAATACTGTTGTTAAAGATAATTCTATATTTTAAGAGCTTGGCATGAGATCTTTCATGCCACAATTGGTAAATATACCAAAAAAAAGATTATCTTACCAATAATCTTGCTGCATTGAGCATTACATAATGTGTATTGTGATGCAGGTGTAACAAATGACTCTGTATTATGGAGACATTTCTGCTTTACTCTATGACAAGGAATATCAGATTGAAACCTCTTATTTTATTTCCTAGAATAAACCCAATGTGGACTAACTAGAGACAAGCCCTTCAATTGAAGAAGGAAAGCAAAAACCTGAGGTCATGTAGTTCAACTACATAATCTACAGAATACATTATTCATCAAATGGCTTCTTCTTCCTCACTCTTTTTTGTTTTTTGTGGACAGTATTCTAGATGTTGAGTGGATAAAAACATTTAATTTGTTTCTAATACAACCCTTGATCTTGACAAAACGAATTCATTGCGGTGAATTATTTGTTCGTAATCCGAGACATCAGTTAGCACTTTAACAAATGTTTTATACTTGAAATTGTCTTGTAAAGAAAACCTCAACAGCAGTGGAGTGGAGCAAGTGATATAAATAATGGTTGAGTTGAATAATGAAGTGAAATTGGAAACACAAAATGGCTGTCCAATTTTAATCTTCTCCCCCCCCCCTACAAAAGCGTAAAAAATATAGTTAGCCGAGAATATTCTTGGAATAGAGAATATTCAGAGAATATTCATTTATAAGGAGCCCAGCAACAGCGGCAGCGATGGTGCAATGGTTAGCGTATCGATTATTGTACCCAAGTTGGCGGGTTCAAACCAAATGGAAGCCGTGGATTTTTAAGGGCGAAAAGGCTCCGTGTGCTTTCCTTCGGAGGGGGAGTAAAGTCGGCTTTCCCATGTTAGTCAATTTACTGCATGTAAAATACCCTCAAGCCTAAATGAAGCCTCTGAGCTAAATTCAAATCGCCCTTTTCGTCGCCCAAGTAATATCTCCTTTCTCCGGTAGTTAATGAAAGGTCCATAGCGAAATTTTCGTGATCAGACTGATGGCCCGAGTCTCGCCACATAAAATAAGGCATCAGTTCAATTCAGCAACATAATATGATTCTCTTCCCTCTTAATTTTGGTTGCACATAGCTACGGAAATATTATTCTCTGCAATATTTGGCTAAAGCATGCATAATAATGGAGCTATGGAACACAGTATGAGGTATTTTCCTTGCACTCAAATTGCAAATAGTTTAATTTTATGTTGGTTCTGTCAGAGTATTTCCAAATATTTTTTTTTTCATATTAATTAGAATGTAATTCCACTAAAGCTTCATCAACCTGAAAAATATTTTTAAAAAATCTGCAACCTAGCAACTATGTGAATCAAAAATAAATTATGGAAAATACTCATTTTAAATTGTGAAAATTTGTATTAAAAGGCATTGTAAGTTGGGAAAAAACCCTATTAAATACAAAATCAAGTAAATATAACTAATAGTCCTGATTTCTTTATATACATAGTTCAATGCCCGGCCCTAAGAATCCTACATGGTGCATTTTTATGGAAATCATCACTTTTGCATCTAGGGGTAAAACAAGTTAAGAACTGTACATTTTTTTATTTATTTCATTTCTTAAACATAAAAAAAAGTTAAAACTGTGTTTTGTGCTATGG